TTCAATCTCTGTGCATGTGTTTAAGTAGTTTCTGTGCCTTTTGTGTGTGTGTGTGTGTGTGTGTGTGTATTTCTAACTTTATTCCATTATGATCAGATGAGATGCAAGGAATTATATAATATATATATATTTTTTGTATTTATTTGCTTAGAGTTGCTTTGTAACCTAAAATGTGATCTGTTTTGGAGGTTTCATGAGTAGCTGAGAAGAAGTGAATACTGCCATTATTGGATGCATTATTCTGTATATGTCTATTCATTTGATTTATAATAATTTTTAGTCTGATGAGTCTTTACTGAGCTTGTCTGGATGACCTATCTGTTGGTGGGAGAAGTGTGTTGAAATTATCTGGTATTATCGTACTGGAGTCTCTGAATCCTTAAGTTGAGTTGTATCTGTTTTATGTAATTATGTGCATAAATATTTACTATCAATAGACTTTGTTGGATTGTTCCCTTTACCAGTATGAAGTGACCTTATTTGTCTCTTCTGATTAATTTTGGCTTGGAGTCTGCTTTGTCAGATATGAAAGTAGCCATTCCTGCTTGTTTTCAGGCTTCATTTGTAATATATGTATGTCTGCCTATAAGGTGAGTCTTGCAAAGAACATGTAATTGGATCTTGTTGTTTCAGCCATTCTGCCACCCTATGCCTCCTAATTGGAAAGTTGAGACCATTTATCTTCATTGTTATTATATAGAAAGGTTTATTAATTCCTGCCATTTTGATTTATTTCTGATGTTTAATTTGGTCATGTTTCTAATTTGCTTAGATGTTTTTCAAGTGAGATTTGACTTTTTGAGTGCTCTGAGGTCTGTTTTTTATTTCTTTTGTTTGTAGTATGTAAGAATTTTCTGTAGTGGTGGCTTTTAATTTTGCTTAACTACTTCATCTTCAACTCTGAAGGATAGCTCTGCAGGATATAGTAATCATGGTTGATAGTTATTTTATTTCACATTCATTCCATACTCTCCTTGATTTTAGAGTTTGCTGAAAAATTAGAATAATTATGATTGGCTTTCCTCTAAATGTGACATTTTCCTCTGAGGCTTTCAATATTTTTTTAATAGTTTTTTATTTGTAGATGAATACAATACCTTTATTTTATTTGTTTTTATTTTTTGATGTGGTGCCAGAGATTGGACCCAGTGCCTCACACATTCTAGGCAAGCGCTGTACCACTGAGCCCCAGCCCCGAGGCTTTCAATATTTTATTCTTGCTCTGTATGTTAGTCATTTTAATTATAATGTGTCTTGGAGAAATTATTTTTGTGTGGGGCTGTACTGGTGATTGAACTCAGGGCACTTGACCACTAAACCACATCCCTAGCTCTATTTTTTTTGTGTTTTATTTAGAGACAGGGTCTCTCTGAGTTGCTTAGCACCTCACCATTGCAGAGACTGGCTTTGAACTCACAATCTTGTTGCCTCAGCCTACTGTATCCTCCTTGGGCTACATAATAATTGTTTGGTTAGCAGGCATCAGCATCATTGTACATTTCCATCAGAGCTCTTGGGTGACCATGTACATTGTCAGTGAGTAGGAATCTTTTTTGTTTTTAATCCTGAGCAATAGTTCTTAACAGTAGACTGGGTTTAATGATGTTGTAGACAGATGTGTTGTCATTCAGACTTTGTTGTTCTATTTATAAAGCACAGGCAGAGATTTAATATAATTCTTTAAGGGCCCTAGGAGTTTTGAAGTGGTCAAAAGTGAGCATTGGATTCGACCACCAATTGCATTATTCCCTAACAAGAGAGTCAGCCTGTCCTTTGAATCTTTGAAGTCAGAAAATGAGGGGAATGGGGAAAAAAAACAAAAAAAAATAAACAAGGATAGAAATGAATTACAGTAGATGGGGTAGAGAGAGAAGATGGGAGGGGAGGGGGGATAGTAGAGGATAGGAAAGGTAGCAGAATACAACAGTCACTAATAGGGCATTATGTAAAAATGTGGATGTGTAACCGATGTGATTCTGCAATCTGTATTTGGGGTAAAAATGGGAGTTCATAACCCACTTGAATCAAAGTGTGAAATATGATATGTCAAGAGCTTTGTAATGTTTTGAACAACCAATAAAAAAAACATAAAAAAAAAAAGAAAATGACTTTTCTTTACTATGAAAATCCTAGATGACCTCTTCTTCCAGGAGAAGGGTGTTTTTGGAGACCTGCTGACAGTGTAGCCACCTTCCTGAGGGTCGGAGCTGGATCTTCTGGGTAACTTGCAGCAGCTTCTCCATCAGCGCTTGCTGTCTCACCTTCATGCTGTGGAGACGGCTTCTTTCCTTAAACCTCATGAACCATTCTGGGCTAGTTTCAGACTTTTCTTCCAGAGCTTCCTCACCCCTCAGCTTTCAGTGGATTGAAGAGAGATAGGGCCTTGCTCTGGATTAGGATTAAGGATTGTTGTAGCTGGCTTGATTTTTTTTTTTTTTTTCTCCCATCCAGACAACTAGAACTTTATCCATGTCAGTAATGAGGCTCTTTGACTTTCATATTGTTTGTTTATTTATTGGAGTAGTACTTTGAATTTCCTTTAAGAATTTTCTCTTTGCATCCACAACTTTTATCCAAGAGACCTAACTTCTGGTTTTTCTTAGTTTTCAACATGCCTTCCTCAGCTGTGCTTCAGTGTAAGCGATGTGTGTGTGATTCGTATTTTCATTTGAATGCTTAGAGGGCATTGTAGGATTATTAATTGGCCTAATTTCAATGTTGTGTCCCAGTTAAGTTTGCTTGTCTTATAAAAGGTTGTTTTGTGGTGACCCAAAATGATAACATCTGAAATCACTGATCACAGATCAGCTTAACAGATATAAGTGCTGAGAAGGTTCAAAATGTGATAATTACCAAAAGGTGGCACAGAGACACATAGTGAGCATATGCATTTGAGAAAATGGCACCGATAAGACTTTTTGGCACAAGTTGTTACAAACCTTCAATTTGGAAAAAATGTGTTATTTATTAAATAAAACAGTGAAACAATTAAATAAGACTGTATGTAAATATATATGAATATGTAAAAACAAATACATGTATATTTTTTCCTATTTTTTCATACTGTGGATCTTAGGAACCTCAGTATATGATTTTTTTTTTTTTTTTAAATTGAGAACTTTCACCTTTCACTTAAAGGGAGTACTTTATGGCTTTTCTGTGGCATATCTGAATTGTCAGCATCACTTCTCTTATAGTTTGTGGCCATTGTTAAGTAAAATAGGGGCTACTTGAACATTAACAGCTTCTCTGTAACAGTTCATCTCAAAACTGAGCCCCTAAGTGACTGATAGATGTGTTGTGTATACAGTGTGGTTACTCTGGGAAAAAGGGAATGTGTTAGAACCAGAGTTAGGTCTTCATGTCTGGGGTGAGATGGAACAGGACAAAGCAAGGTTTCATCAAACAACTCAAGTAGTGCATAATTTAAAACTTAAGAATTCTTGTTTATTTCTGGAATTTTCTACTTAATATTTTTGGACTGTCATGACTGTGGGTAACAAACAGTGGAAAATGAAAGTGTGGGTTAGGAGCTATGCACCTGCCCAGTAGTGGGATTGCTGGGCCTTGATAGTTGTTTTGAGGATCCTCCCTGTACTTCTCCATGATGTCTGTACTAATTTGCATTCTTATTAATAGAGCTCAAGAATTCCCTTTTCTTCATTTGCTATCATTTATTTCTGATAATAGCCATTTTAACTGGTGTGAGGTGATACAAAATTATAATTTTGTATTTTCCCTAATGATCAGTGATACTGAAAATTTTTTCATATATTTGTTGACATTTTGTATAAAATGTTTTTTATGTATAAAATGTTTTTTACTTCTCTTTTTATGAGAAGTTTTTGTTAACATCCTTTGCCATTTTTTTAGTCAGATTATTTATTCTTTCGCTATTGAGTTGTTTGCGTCTCTATATATTTTGCACATTAACCCCTTACCGGTTATATAGTTTACACATATTTTTGCCCATTTTGCAGGTTGTCTCTTTACTCTTTCGATTATTTTCTTTGTTATGTAGAAGCTGTTAGTTTGAAGTAATTCCATTTGTCTATTTTTCCTTTAGGTAATATTCTTGTTTTAAAAACTTAGTAAGTGGTTATTATTCTGTGTATCTTTCTGTAAATGCATGTTTCATTCAGTGGATTTATCTGTATTTATACTCTTAATTCTTTTCTTTCTTGTGAGAGTGTGTGTGTGTGTGTGTGTGTGTGTCACTTTGTTGAATAACTATTGCCTAATTTTATTTTTTCTTTTTGATGTATATTTAGATTACTTATAGTTCTTTGCTGTTCTGCATATGCTCTGTTGAATGCTATCTTGAGTATTTTTTTGTTACATGATAGAGATTTTCTGTGGGATGTATACCTGAGAACTGATGGACTGTATGATATGTGATTTGTTAGCTCCAGTTCTCACTCCCCTGGGAAGTGGGTGAGTTCACGTGCCCCAGCTCTAGCCATACTTGATATCATGTGTGGTCATAATTAATTTATAATGGATTAAAAAGAGAGTAGATGGCCACATGTATGCCTTGTATACCCTCTCATTTATGAGTCTAAGATGGTGGTGGGAAGGTAGAATGAATGTGAGAACAAAGGCGCTGGCACCACTATGTAGTCATTTATGCTTATATGACTGTGTTTATTTGTATTTTTAGTGAATAATTATGTTCAGATTTCTTAGTTTTCCTTTCTACTAGAATAACTGCTGGTATCATCCAAACACAGTCTCTTACTTTAAGAATGTAAAGGGGTCCTGAAGCTAGAAAGCTTGAAAAGTGTTGCTTTAAACATGTAATAGCTGTACAAAAAAAAACAATATTTTATTCTTGTTGAGAGTGGTCATCGGGAAGGAAAACAAAGGTAATTTAGTTCCTTTAATAGATGAAAAAATTAGTTGACTTTTAAAGTTTCGTATTAATTTTAAATAAATTTTCAATTCTTTGCCTTAAATTTTGTTTAAAACAAGATTATATTTGTAAATAAAATACTTTGCAGGTGCTGATCTTAAAGAAAGAGCCAAAATGCATTCCAGTGAAGTTGGTCCTTTTGTCTCCAAAATAAGAGCGGTGATTAATGACATAGGTAAGCATAATTAAATTCTCCTTTTAGCATGCCAAAGATGATCTTCAGTGTCAGACATAAACAGTTGCATATTGTCTTTATGTATAAACTTTGGTCATATACTTATATTATTATACTCATGGCTAATAACTGGCTAATTTATTTGTTATTTATTTACTTTTAATGTTGATAGCAGCTTTATTCATAATTGCCAAAAATTGGAAATAAATGATTGAACAGACACACAAACTATATATCCATACTAACACAGCATCCTTAGCAGTTGAAAAGAACAAACTGATATGTGCAACAACATGGATGACTGTCAGACATTATGTTGAGCAAAATGAGCTAGATATAAAAGACTGCATACAATATGACTATATGCATAAGAAATTCAAAGGCTTGTGAAACATTTTACTGTTAAATCAAAATGCTGGTTATATCTAAGGGAGTTGGTTACTGACTGAGAAAGAAATGAGCAAAATCAGTTCTAAAAAAATCTGATTAGTGCATTATAGTTATGCATAATGGTGAGGTTCATTTTGACATATTCATGTATGTCATGTTTAATTTAAAAAATCATGTGAAATATTTTATAATTACAGATACCTCGTATGTGTATCTTTTAAATAACTGCCTACACAAAAAATTTATGGATTTGTATTTTTTTGTTTTTTTATATAAATGTGGTCATACTATTTCCTTAGAATTATAGTACATATAGCAGTGTACTTTATTGTTATCAATTTTCAATTTTACTATTACATATTAATCTAGTCTTAGCTAAGATTTTAAATCATTTCTTCATTTAATGAACATTTTAGGTTTTAAAAATTTTTTCACAGTTTTTGTTATTTATACTCAATCAGTGAATGTCCTTTAATGTGGGGACAAGGGCATCGAGTACTGCATACATGGCATATGTTAAGGGCATTGGAGTGGCAGGCCACTCTTCTCATGCTGGGCATGTGAGTGGCAGACCGCTTACCCACTAGGCACATCCCTGGGCGTGAAACTGTGTTGCGGTCCCTGTGCTTGCTCCACAGCCTGCTCCTCGATTGGTTGCTGCAAGGACAGTTGGCAAAAATTACATTGGTGGCTGCCTGTAATCTGCTTAGCTACTATCTGAGTATATATACATGGTAACTGCGCAGTAAAATCAGACCTGCTTCCTGCTTGGTCTCTGGAGGTCTTGATCAGGGACTTTGTAGCCACTCTCTCCTCTACCCTGTTCCATGGACCTCCTCGCTAGACAAGAGAGAGCTTTTACATAAGAGACATTTTTGCACAGACACAGAGTCTTAAACATGAAGTTGCTATTCCAAGTGTCATTTGTTCATTTTTTATTTTGTAAGTCATATCAAATTGTATCCCACAAATATAATAATTTATTTATTACAAATTTATTGGTACATTATAATTATATATATTAGTAGGATTCATTATGCCATATTCTTACATATGCATAATTTGATCAATCTCATCCTCCCTAATCTTCCCTTCTGTTCCACTCCTCCTTCAAGAGAAAAGGACAGCTAAACATATTAATTTGAATTTTTTCAACTAAGACGTGCTTTCCCCCTCTGCAAGTTGTCTTTTCACATCCTTCATCCTTTTGTAGGATTATTTAATAAATATTTATTTTAAAGACTTTTCAGGACACGTTGCTGGGGATCAAACTGGGTCCTCTGGTGTGACAGGCAAGTGTGCTACCACTGAGTTATAACTCAAGCCCTAAAAGAATTTTGTCTGTTAATCTTTTGTTCAGTGTGTTACAGATAATGTCTTTTAATGTACCACCCCAATTTGAGTTTATTAGCTTTAAATTTAAAACTTTTAGTATGTGGACAATACAAGGTTCCTATCTTTATTCTTTGTCCTTGAAGATTTTCTTTGTTGATTCTCACATATTAGTTCTTCCAGATGAATTTAGTACTTAAAGTTTTTTTTTAAAGCAAAGCAAAGAGGGGAAAAAAATACTCCGTTGGGTCTTTGATTGGAATGCCACAAAACTTGGACATTTTTATGATACTGAAATCTTTCCAAACATGGTATGCATGGCTCCTGTTTTGGAGATTCATTCATTTGGGGTGGTGCTCTCATTCATTTTTAAGTGACTTCAAGGAAGTTTAATGGTTTTTTTCACATTGGTCTTGTTCTTCTCCCCCCCTCCCCCAGTATTTATTTCTAGTTATTTTTTTAAGCATTTATGCCTTTAAATGTGATCTTCCTCCTACTTTTATTGCAGTCTTATTATTACAGGTCCATAGGACAGTTACTGAATTTTTATGTAGTTATTTTATATCAGTCCAGCTTAGTAATAACTTGCATTATTGTTCTTCCTTAATTTGTATTTTCCACATGAAGTGTTCATTGCCTTATCAATCATTATCAATGAATAAAGCATTTTTATCTTTTATTTTCCCACATTTTTATTAGTGCCTTATAATTATACATAGTAGTTGGAGTTATTGTTACATATTTGTACATGCACATGATCCCAATAATTTAATCTTACATATTTTAATACATATATATTTTTACATTGGCTAAGACCCTTTATAATATTCATTTGTTGCAACCTTATCTGTTTTGATTTTGGTGAGATTGTTAATGTTTTTTAGTTGAGGAAAAAATGTCAAAGTTTGCCAAATGCTTTTAAAATGTCAGTTAGTATTTATTAGAATTTAGCTCAATTAGCCTGTAATACACAGAGTTATCTTAATAATTGACTTACCAGGGCTACGCTGTCCTGGTATGACTAGAATAAGCCCTACCTGATCATTGTGATTAGGGGTGGAAGTGGTTTTTAATATGGATTCAATTCTGAATATTTCTGGTGTAATCACAAAGGAGATTGTTTTAATTTTGGTTTTTTTTGGTTACTCTTTTCTGGTTTGTTAAAAAAGTTTATTTTGTTCATAGAGCATGGTAAAGCTTTCCATCTTTTCCTGTGTGGGGTAGAGAAGTACTTTCTTACTTAACTGGCTGGTGGAATTTGTTTCCTCTTGGGGCCCAGTGTGGTTTTATTAGTGTCGTTACTCTCTACCCCTCTTTTTTTGGCCAAAATTTAAAGTTTTTTTGTGTTGATTTGCATAGTGGTCATGGACTGAATTGCCTCTTCCTCCTGATCTGTGTCCTGTGCTGGTTTGGTCTTAGGCCCCTCCCTGCTTCTCTTTCCAGCTTAAACCTCAGGTTCAGATTCTCCTGAGACAGATAAGGAATTTAGTTTAATGTCGATCAGAGAGCTCAGTCTTGGAAGTAAAATTTCATGTTCCCTGTAACTTTTTAAATATTGGATTTTAAATTAAGATTGGTCTCATTGTTTAAGTCACCCTAATGTTTTTTCCAGAATCTCCACTTATGGTTTCTCCATTTATGGTTTCTTCTCATCTTTGCAGCAGCATTTTTCTTTTCTGTGATATAATATAGCTTTTCTCCTCTATGTCTTGATCTAGTCTCCTTTTATTCTCCAAGAGCTCCTCAGTATTTCTTAATAATAATTCATTATTGCCACATTTTGGTAGATTTAAAAATTTTAAGGTATCTGTTGTGACGTTCAGTGAGATTTTGAAAGGCATGTAGAAACTTAAGTATCTTGCTCTAACCTACTTTTTTGATACTGGGAATTGAATCTAGGGGCTCTTAACTACTGAGACATATCCCTAGGGCTGCCCCCCTACCTTTTTTCCCCCCTAGCCCCTTTTATATTTTATTTAGAGTCTCACTAAGTTTCTTAGGGCCTTACTAAGTTGCTGAGTCTGGCTTTGAACTTGTGATCCTTCTGCCCCAGCCTCTGGAGCCACTGGGATTACAGGCAAGTGGCCACTGTGCCCAGCCTAATATGTGAAAACTAGAGGCAGGCGAACTTTCTTAAAAGAAGTAATATGATAGGCTCTGCAGGCAATGTGATCTCTGTTGCAGCTACTCAACCTTGACATTACAGTGTAAAAGGAGACTCAGACCATGTTTGAACATTTGTATAAGTAAATGTACATGGCTCTTTTTGCAGTAAAGTTTTATGCATACTGAAATTTTAATTTCATAAAATTTTCGTGTGTCATGAAATAGTATTTAAATTTTTTGTTAGCTATTTAAAATATAAAAAGCATTTTTAGCTCATAGTGTGTACTAGAATGAAATTAAGCACTGACCACCCTCCCTTTTTAAATCTCAGTTTTCTTCTTCTTTTTTTTTTTTTTTTAAGGGAGAGAGAGAGAGAGAGAGAGAGAGAGAGAGAGAGAGAGAGAGAGAGAGAGAGAGAGAAAACTGTTTAATATTTATTTTTTAGTTTTCGGTGGATACAACATCTTTATTTTATTTTTATGTGGTGCTGAGGATCGAACCCAGCGCCCTGCACATGCCAGGCGAGCGCGCTACCGCTTGAGCCACATCCCCAGCCCAAATCTCAGTTTTCTTCTAATTTCTTTATTTTTCCTCATTTGAAATTAATTCTACCTTCCATTCTTTTCATTTGTTTGGTTTTAAAATTGACCGGTTTCCAGTTCTAACTCGGACAGCTTGCTTCATGGTTAGCTCAGGAAATTTTCATTGTTATTTGGAGACTTAAGGGTTTTAAGTCCTTTATATTCTGTGGTAGGGAGCTTAAGATATTACACTTAGGGATTTGCATTCTTGGTAAGATTTAGGAACCAGAATGGAGCATAAAACTTGCTAATGAGTAGAGGGATAGAAGGAGTAGGAAAAAAAACAAAAACCAGAAGTTCCTATAGTCTTAAAAAATGGAAGGACGGGGCTGGGGATATATTCAGTTGGTAGAATGTTTGCCTGCCATGACTAGGACCTGGGTTCAATCCCCAGTGCCACCAAAAAGCAAAACAAAAACAAAAACAAAAATAAGAGAAAAAAGAGAGAAAAAAGAAGCATACAAATTAAGAACAAACTAAGTAAGATGCTGTTGAAATATGGCTAATGGTTACCATTAATATCATTCAGTTAAACTTGCTATTGAAGTTAAAATCCCCAGTTATGTGTTGTTGATAATGGCAACATCTTGT